GTCGGAGCGTCAGCGCCGAGGGAGCGCCGCGCCGTCGGAGCGTCAGCCTCTGTCGGCACAAACTGAACCCCCCTCATTCCTCCCCCCGCCTCGCATTCTGGGGAAATTGCAGGTGAAATTGCATCGCTTGTGCCTGTCGGGCGGTTATTCCATGTACCTCAGACTCCAGGTGCTCCACACGCTCGTGCAGTTCCTGAATCAGCAAGTCCTTCTCCTCAAGCTGATTCCGGGAGCTCTGCATCTGGAGAGACACACAAACAGGATCACACTGGTCGGATCCACTCCCAATTCTCCCGAGTGATGTGTGAAGGGAAGGGAAGGGAGGAAGACTCCTGCAGAGGGGGGGGGGGGGGGGGGGGGGGGGGGGGGGGTGGTTCTTGGTTTCACGCCTCACTCCGAAAGACGGTACCTCCAACAGTGCGGCACTCCCTCCCTACTGTTGCAGGGTCAGCGCCGAGGGAGTGGGCACAAAGGGAGAGGGCACAAAGGGAGAGAGCAGGAGAGAGAGAAGGAGAAAGAGAGAAGGGGGACAAAAAGAGAGAGAGACACAGAGACAGAGAGAGAGAGTGTGGTGGGGGGGTGGTGAAGAGAGAGAAAGAGGGATAGAGAGAGAGTGACAGAGAGAGACAGAGTGTGTGCAGGAGATAAAGGGGGTCAGAGAGAGAAAGAGAAAAAGGAACAGAGAGAAAGAGAGCGAGGACAGACCGAGAGAGGGACAGAGAGAGAGAGAGAGAGAGAGAGAGAGAAGGGGGACAGAGAGGAGGGGAGCAGGGGACAGTCAGGGAGAGATACTCGCAGGGGAGCAGGAGGGGGAAGGGGACAGGGAGAGGATCCTGGTCCCAGCCGGTCCCAGAGATGTGAGGTTTCTCGGGTCAGTCTCCCACTCACTTGCTCGATCATTTGCCTCACTTTCCTCTGCTGGCTCTTCAGCATGTCATTGAGGTGGCTGATCTTCTCCCTCAGGTTCTCCGTCTCTTTCTCCAGCTGTAGTACCCTGGAAAAGGGTTCGGGGAGTGGGGGGTCAGGTTAGTGAGAACAATGCAAATGCAAGACACGAGAGAGAGTGCGTTCAATGCAGCAACCATCTGTACTGTCAGGTAGACTGAGGGAGGAAGGTCTGCACCTTCCTGGGGGACACTGTAACCACAAACAAAACCCTGAGGTCAGGCTGGGCTTGGGCAGACAGCAAATAAAACACATACACATCCCTACAGTGTGGAAGCAGGCCATTCAGCCCATCAGGTCCACACTGACCCTCTGAACAGCATCCCACCCAGATGCACCCTGCTACCCTATCCCTGTAACCCTGTATTTCCCACGGCCAATCCACCCTAACCCGCCCATCCCTGGGCACTACGGGACAATTTAGCACGGCCAATCCACCCTAACCCGCACATCCCTGGGCACTACGGGACAATTTAGCACGGCCAATCCACCCCAACCCGCACATCCCTGGGCACTACGGGACAATTGAGCACGGCCAACCCACCCTAACCTGCACATTTTTGGACTGTGGGAGGAAACCGGAGCACCCAGAGGAAAACCACGCAGACACGGGGAGAATGTGCAAACTCCGCACAGACAGTCACCCGAGGGTGGAATCGAACGCAGGTCTCTGGTGCCGCGAGGCAGCATTGCTAACCACTGAGCCACTGTGCCCACACCTTGCCCCAAAAGGCCAAGAGATCAATTGGAACTTGTAACACTGAGATTAATAAGTATGTGTTGGGATGAAGGGACTGAGAATAGACACAGGTTTTTCCTCAATTCTCTTGCTGCGATCACTGGCTGGGCCCAGCATTTATTGCCCGTCCCTAGTTGCCCCTTGAGAAGGTGGGAGTGAGCTGCCTTCTTGAACCGCTGCAGTCCATCTGCTGTGGGTTGATCCACAATGCCCTTAGGGAGGGAATTCCAGGATTTTGACCCAGTGACAGCGAAGGAATGCCAATATATTTCCAAGTCGGGATGGCGAGTGGAGGGGAACTTTCAGGGGGTGGTGTCCCCATGTATCTGCTGCCCTTGTCCTTCTGGATGGAAGTGGTCGTGGGTTTGGAAGGTGCTGTCTGAGGATCTTTGGTGAATTTCTGCAACGCATCTTGTAGATAGTATGCACTGTTGCTACTGAGCTAAGAGTCAAGATGCAAGTTAGCCATGATTTAATGGGCTGCTGGGATAGGGTGGAGGGCCCACATCGCCCTCCAGCACCTCCTACTGGAAGGGGCTTGCACGGAGAGGTCCGTGACTGCATTACCCAAGGAGAATTGGGGTGCAATTCAGACCCGAGGGTAGGGCACCGAGAGAAGACACTCTGACCTCAGGTGGCACCCCATCGTACCTGTGCTGGTCAGCCCTGCCAGTGCGATTCTGTGCCCTCATCTCTTCCAACTGGTGTTCATTCTCGCTTATCCTCCCTGCCAGGACTTGATGCTCCTGCCAACAAGGAACAGAAAGAAGCCATTACAATTCCGCTCGCACACCCCCCCTCCCCAGCCCACCCCCTGACACCCACCTACCAGGGTAGAGGTGCTCAGCATTTGACAGAGAAAGTGCATCTCGTTGGACTTTCTATTCCAGGAGTTGCATGGAAGAGGCTTCCCAATTCCTTCTCCCTTTCCATTTAAATTCAACCACCTCCTCCTCCTCTCTCTCTTCCTACTTGTGCACCCCACTGCCATCGCACAGCCCCTTAAAACTCCGAGGAATCATATCAGACTTGAAAAACCTTCATTCTGTTTTTTTTTCCCCTCTGTCTCTCTCTCTCTCCACAGATTCTGCCGGCCCTGCTGAGTTTCTCCAGCACTTTTTGCATTTATTGTAAAATTGCTAATTATTAGCGTGACTTGTTGACGGTTTACATAGAGAGAAAACAAACAGAAAACCTTTCAGGGTGTTGAGAGAAAGAGAGGTGGACACTGCAGGGGACTGGTGTTCAAAGTTACCTTTGCCAACCCTGTTTTGATTTTGTCTCCGTCCCTGGCTTCTTCGCTCCCCCACCCGCCCCATCACCAATTCGACAGCATAGAACATAGCTCACAGAGTGGACTCTACCAGCGACAGTGCTTATTCAATTTGCTTTCTTGTGTTATTCCATGTTTGTGACCCGCCTCAAGTTATTGTAACCAAATTGGCCCAGGTTTGTCAGAATGTTATCCCCACTGGTCATCCATTTCTCACTCACTCACTCCCTCTCCCTCTCTCGCCCTAAATCAGGAGAGACGCCTTTGCGGATAGTGATGGGGAGTTCAACTCTCTGATCGCTATGCTGGGGCTTTAAGAGGTGTATTTTGTCCTGGCTTTCTTTGAAGAGATGTTTTAAGGTGGAGGCGCTGAGCTTCCTGGCAAGAGACCCCGTTGGGATTTTGTTTCGGTTGGAACAATAGAAGCAGCCTGGCTGGGTGTGGCCAGCTCTCACAGAACCAGGATATCTAGTTTATTTCTTTTAGATTTTAGGTTTAGCATTAAGCAGTCACTGTTGGAGGGGGGTCTCAACAGGGAAGAAGCTGCTGGAGTTCCGGAGCTATCTTTCTCCTCTCTAGCATAGAGCTGGGCTTTTTCTCTGCTGCTGGGCGACCTGAGAGACAAATCTACTTTTCTCAGTTTGTTTTTATTTGCCAATAGAACAAATCACTGGTAATAGTTACTTTATCTATCATTGTGGAAAGTTTCCAATAAAGTTATTCTAAATTCCTCTTTCAATTGGTTTATATTTTAACTAAATGGCCCTTTGCTTGATGTGGAGCAGTTTGGTCAATCCTATTGCATCTGGAACACGGCACGTTACATTTACCTTCAAAATCAGAAAAAGTTAGGGTCTAGGCTACTTTATTAAAATATTTTCAGGGGCTCTGGTCTGGTCCAAAACACTATTCCTTAAGGTCTGTCAGGATACAAGGGCACCTTCGGATTTGCAGTGCATCATTCTCCCATCTCAACCAACGCTACGTTAATTTAGTCTCCATCTCATCCCCACAGCCTTGTTGCCCCATCTCTTTGCCTCATGCCATAGTGCCTCTGGTGGACAGTGTTGGTAATTCGGTGACTGGGGTTCATTTTAAACTGGGCTCTTGCCCAGTAGGCCGCCGAACAGAGGAAGGGAAAAGGTGGAAACTGACCTTTGCGCTAATCTATTGGTCCAGAACAAAACCCTCGTAAGATTTCTGCGGCCGAAATTGACGGACTGATGTCAGTCTGCGAAACGGACACGTCCCCGTACCTTTTCCATTCCACTCGTCAGCCTCTGAAGTTCCTCGATCTTTCGGTCACGCTCAGCGACTCTCTCCTCCGACCGCTGAAGTGATTCCCTGGCCTCTCCCAGCTGCCTCCTGTGCTCCCCGATTTGATCCTATCGAGGACGTAGATTCAGAAGGAAGATTTCAATCGCAAACGTGCCCCCCTTGCCCATCACGGCATTGCGCTTGTTGCTAGACACCTACTGCTACCGTAACTTGCGACCGCTCGCGATGGCGCTACGCCTGACCCCTCAATCCCCCCCGACACCCCAGCCCGCGCCCCCTTACCTCCAAAGTTTTCCTCTCGCGCTCCTGAGTGCGCTCAGTCTCCAATAGTTTGGAGTACAGGCATTTCGTAGCTCGGCGCATCTTTTCAGTCTCATCGTCGTCCGTCTATCAACAGAGAGAACAATGAGGCCACTCCGCCTGACTAGCCCCCTCGGTCAGGGGTAAGCCAGCTTCCAAAACCCACACTACCTCCCGCTTCCTCCACACTCATTACTCACCCTGGGGACCCAGGCACTGCCGTTCTACACCCGGACATGCTCCATCACACCTTACACACTCTTGCACTTTTAAGCATGTTCATACACTCACTGCCTCACATACAAACACATATTCACTCTCTCTCTCCCTCGCCCGTGCGCGCGCGCGCGCTCCTTCCCTCGCCCGTGCGCGCGCGCGCGCTCCTTCCCTCGCCCGTGCGCGCGCGCGCGCTCCTTCCCTCGCCCGTGCGCG